TACACTCTTTGTCTTCCCTTAAACTAAGAGATCAAAATCGCTTCATATCTTTCTACGAACTAATTCTTTCTTCCTGTACTATATGCTTAGTACAATCTTTTTTTATATATCACACCTCTGAATTAACTACTTTTATGAATCCGGTGTCCATCTTGTTGTGTTAATGAGGTATGGCAACTTGTTCCAATGCATATATGTGCCTGGTCCGACGTTGTAGATGACTGACTAAATAGCCTTCTACTCACTTAATTTCCGCGAAGTTCACTCACTATTATGTGCTCAGTCCAAATGTTTCCCTTGTTTGCCTATATTTTTACTACAAAATTAACGTTCAAACACTAGATTAATTTTCTGAAGACACTGATTTACAGAAAATGAGATCATAGTTTACAAAGAGGCTAATAACAGTCCGACGTTTGCCACACATCTTTGTTAGTGCAAAGTTTGTTTGTTTTTAACCAAGACCTGCAACAACGTCATAGTTGCCTGTTGACATTATTTATTAGGGATGTGTCTTACTTTTCAACCCAGTATGGAATCATACACGCTGTCACTACATACGTCTAATTTTCCTCAATGCACTGCATGTAAGTGAGATAGTAGATGCATATATAAATTGCAGTCTGTTGGAAAATTAGGATTAAAATATAACCAATTTTAAAAACCGGTAGGGCTCCATTGCCACATCGATTTTACTATTCAGAATCTTAGTAACCGTCTTTTGAATTCTGGAATTTAAGAAGAACGAAACTTTATGTTAATTTCACTTCCGTATTTTTTGTTACCAGCAACTAACTGCATAAAGTGTTCGTTAACACTAAACACCACCTATAGAAAGCAATCAAAGGTTATTATCTAGTTATAACTTACGTTCTTTTCTTTCTAAGAGTTTGTATCTCATGTCATAGAAACGACCTTACATTGACATATCAAGATTTTTGAGGGTCTTTTTGTGTGGTACTTAATGATAAACACCATAGTGCTAGTGCACCCAATGATTAAAAACAAAAACGTACACTATCCGTATGCTGCCATAAGACTTGCACCTCTGAAATGCCCTTATAGATGTAGTACCAAGTAGCGTACAGTGGCTAGCAGCTTCAGGCTTAATGATTTAGCGCATGAAGGTTTTCGAGTTACCATCCATTATTCTCATCTCCATGACCATCTAGATTGTGAAGTAATAATCCAATACATTTAGTAGAACTACGGATTTGTCCATGTCTTCTTGCTAAAGACATGAGTCCAACGTTCCTTTTCAGACGACAAAGGAGAATGGAAACTGGATGATCCAGTATCAATGCTCTGTAGGATTTTGCGCGCATCAGACTTAGACTAACATAAGCTGCATACCATTAGCACTCATGTTTGATATTACCACATTTAATGGGTACCAGCGTATAGTTATGTGGATCTGAAAAATAGACTTAAATTTCACATTTCAGCCGCGGTAACGTTTTTGCTTGTGCCGAATTTATTTATATGCATTTATAAATATATATACTTGAATGTCCAGCAAACTAAATTGCGGATATTGAACGTGACTGTTTTCAGCCTGCATTTCAGTTACATTCATGTCTAATGAATTCTACAGATACCCCGGTCTCTGTTTCAACGCATCTCTACAAAAGATTTTGCTATAACTGTGACGGCAGCAGATTAAAGGGTAGCGAATTTAACGATCGGATCAAAGACGCGCAAACACCTAGAACGGCCTAGGGTTCTGATTGGCCCCGCTTCCCTGTCTAGCCCAGCCATTTGAGTCCAGAACACAAGTCTTAGCCTCGGAGATATGAATCATTATATTTCAAACATACTTTGTTTATATACTAATCAAGCAGACCACATCGTACCATAAAATAGAAAATAACATTGTACAATATTGACCAGTAGGAAAATGACACGTGAAATAAACATTGACCAATAAGGAAATGACACCATCTCAAGTCCAAGGATAGCGTTAGACTTAAAAGAATAATTTCTGGGATATTTTTCTGAATATCCTAACAAATTTAAAGGATTGTTATGCTTAACTCTTGGGTTTTTCTGCATTCAATCGCAATGTGTTTTCGTCAGCTAAACTATTGGCATGACAGCCGGTCAGTTTACTGAACAAAACCAGCAAATCTGTCGCAGTCTATATATATATATATATATATATATATATATATATATATATATATATATATATTCGATGCCCCCTTGTACCAATATTTATGTGTTCAAATAAATAAATAAAATAGTCTACACCGTCTATAGGAAGTAAAGATGTGTATATAATTAACCTTAGTAGTGGATAATCCCACACCTGATAACCGACCAATTGTTATGTAGTTGGGCACCGTTCTCCACGTACATATCCACAAAGTTAACAGGATGTAAGATAAGTTATTCACCAACAAGCCACTTGGTTGCTGCAAAAAATACCTGCTTCAACGATTAAATTGACACCCACTTTAACGGCCTTCTCGCGGCACGAGTGTCGTATAGGAAATTGAGAGGACGAAAAGCGAATGGCCGGCGCTTTAACTGCGTTGGTGGGTACAAAAGATCAACATAGAGGAGTCGAAAAAACCTGATTCCGAACTAATGGTGTATATGGGCTCCAGGATCATGAGGGAACAAATGGCGTATGAAATTTTTGTTGGACACCGGCTACCATGGGGATACATCTCCCAACGTTGCTCCACTACCTTGTGGATTAGACCTTAGGAAAAAAGGCTCGAGTGTGACCCCCTAAGAAAGCCACATGCTTAGGTTTGAGAAGCCTGAAAGTATCACAGCCCTTACACAAATCAATATTAACTACTAGCCTGATTGTTATTGTGTTGCACATATGTACTTAGTGTCTCCTTGTACCGATGCTTACGTATTCAAACAAATAACTAACTAACAACCCTTCACAATAACAAAGACCCTCTGGGCACAGGATTTTTCCTGGAACAGAGCACCCAACAATAAAGGTTAGATAACGGACAGCAGCTTACCCCCTCTACTTCAGGAATTTTACCAACAAAATTCCAATATGCGTATCTGTACACTGCCATTATATCCTCAATCAAATGGAAAAGCAAAGCGATTTATGGACGCCCTCAAACACAACGTTGACAAAATCAAAGGAGGGCGCTCATCATCAAACGATGCACTACTGAATCAGGAATCCTCACGGGTCGTAAATTGAGAATCCCTCACGTACTACTGGAAAGGATTAGCTATGCGAAAATAACAGAACTGAAAGTCTTAGATTTTGGAATTGGATCTCTCGTGTTCTCCCAACATTACAGATCGAGACGTAACGCATAGGTAGAAAGGTGAGTGACGAGAGTTGGTCAGGTAACAACAGACTAGAAAGGACAGAAATAACACCTTTAGAATTAGTGAAACTACGTCCAAGATGATGAAGACGACAACGGCGGAGAATGGTTCAGTCTCAAGTGAACCAAGGGGTTATATGTTATTTAAAAGGGATGTTGTGGGTATTAAATCCATAAGTACGGCATTTAGGAAGAAAATAACCTTAAGGTCGATAAATTAATTTATAGCTAGTTCTGCTGATTAAATCCCAGTGCACCTCCATTTGCATTGATTTATTCCGTATGAAGCTAGTTTATTGAGTTTAAAAGCCTTTCATCGTATTAATGAGCTCAATGTTACTTAACATTAATATGGTGACTGCTCTGTCGATAATTATTGAAGTTAATCGGTATATTGTTCAGATTATATTTATTTATTTAAGCACATAAATATTGGTGTAAGGAGGCACCGAATATATATGAGCCACGCTTTGTCATTCGATTTGTGTGAGGGCTAGAATACTGCCCAGGCACCAAAACTTGAGCACATGGCTTTCTTAGGGGGTCACACTCGAGCCTTTTTTCCTAAGGTCTAATCCACAAGGTAGTGGAACAACGTTGGGAAATGTAGTCCCATGGTTTATTTTATTTCAACATATAAATATTGGTACAAGAGGGCACCAAATGTATATGCGCCACACCATATTTGTGTGTGTGGGCTGTGATACTGCCCGGGTGCACGAATCGAAGCAGGTGGTTTTCTTAAGGGGCCACACCCCGAGCCTTCGACTTAAAGGTCTGATCCACAAGGCAGTGGAGCATCGTAAGGAGATGCAGTCCCATGGTAGCCGGTGACCAACGATTGGTTCATACGCCATTTGTTCCCACAGGATACTGGAGCTCATGTGCACCATTGATTTTGGATCCGGTCAAAGCGCCGGCCATTCGCTTTTCGTCCTCTCAACACCCCTGCTGCCAGAAGACAATGAGTAGGACTTCCATGATAGTGGCTGTATACGCGTGACCATGTGAGAGCGTTTCAAGAGAGGGAGCGAACTCTTCCCATCTTCGGTCGTACCAGGACATTTGGGGGCGTTAGGGGTACCACGGGGAGAATTTCTGGTCATTTCGAGATCAGATATTTAAAACCACTGATCAGATCCACAGAATCTACGTAAATTTTGCACCATGGATTCAATTTTTCTCTAATAATACTAGCTTCTGGTCACCAGTCAGTTTTAACTTTTATTGGACCCATGTTACTGTTCACCAAATAATATTGCTAAGATTATCCATAGTTCATAAAATTAAAGACTAGCGAAACAGCATCTGAAATATCCTATCATCATTCGTGCTCAGTAGAATCTAATCCAAGCTGTAAATTGTTTGTTTCGGTTTTTATCCTTATTGATTTACGAATGTTTTAGCTTTTGTGTCTTACTTCCCCCCTGGAATAAATCTTAGTCAAAATTATTACTATCAGTACATCACACGGAGAAGTTGTGATAGCCAGCAGTATCTACTCTTTTGTTCCGAAAGAATGTCATGGTATGAATCACTTGTATTTGGCGACTTCTGATTTTACCTGACTATAAAATGTGGTGTGGGATCCATTTGTTACTCACATGTATGTTTTAGAAATAATTGTTAACAGACACAATGTTTTACATAAATTTTTCCATTTGAAATGTATTTTTCAGTATTTCTATGCCAATGCAGGTGACGAAAATTGTTTCAAAACATCGACCAAGGTATAGACAAGCACGCATTGTCTTTCCATTGCTTCTTCCAGTGTTATTTGGTATCGCATCACTACATCCAATTGCTACTGTGCTTACTCTTCTTTTATGTTTGGTCGTATGTTTCAATGTCGTTATTGTAGTCGCTCCACCCACATGTCCCTTAGAAGATACATTCCTTTTCTACAAATTGTCTGATAGCTATGACGGGTTTCTAAGGTATGTGTTGCAATATAATTTCCTTAAGCTGATATGGTATTTTAACGTGGTTGTATTACCAGAAATCTGTTTCTATTTAGATATCATCAATGTTTTTCAGTAGTATGTGACTGCTGTCCATTTATGTTTTTTGAGCAAACGATTACTTTATTTGTATTATATAGTACCTAGTAAATTTCACAAATTTATATGACCTGTCTTCGTACGTTTAAAATGTCTTTATTTCCATTATTTCAGTGAATATGTACGTCATATCTGTTTCCTTGTGAAATAAATAATACACCAAGTATCTGTCCATTGATATCAGGTCTTATGTCATGGGTAAGCAACTGACCTTCAAAGTTGATATCCTACGATCATTTATGACGTTGAATCATGTTCTTTTTCTGCCGATAATTTGTATATAAGTACGTTATTTTATCAGAGAAAAAACTTACGATTCTGACTAAAGGTTATTTCTTCGATGTCAGTTCATCCATGGTTTTGGACAAACATCTCGTTTTTGTGTGAAGTCATCACACATCCATATCACATTATTGGGTTCACCTATTTCAGTCAGTCAGTTACAACGTAGGACCAGGCACATATATGCATCGGCCCAAGCTGCCACACCTCATTAGAACAGCAAGACGAACACCGGATTCATAAAAGCAGTTAACTCAATGGTGTGATATATAAAAGAATGGTTTTATGTAAGGATATAGTGTAGAAAGAAATAAATAGTTCATAGAAAGGGACATATGAAGCTATTTCGATCTCATTGTTCAAGGGAATATAGAGAATGTATCAGTCAGTCAGTCAGCTACAACGTAGGACCAGGCACATATGTGCATCGGTCCAGGTTGCCATACAGCATCAGCACAACAAGATGAACACCGGATTCATAACAGTGGTTAGGTAAAAGGTGGTAATATATAAGAGAAAGATTGCATATAGAGATATAGTACAAGAAGAAAGAATTGGTTAGTAGAAAGAAAGATATGAAGCGCTTTTAATCTCTTAGTTTAAGGGAAGACAGGGAGTGTATACACCGACGCCATTGTGAACGATTCTGAGCCATGTCACCAAGAGTCTCCAACCATTGGTTACGATAGTCACGCGGACCCCAACCAAGTAGTCTGCATCTACCAACATGGCTCAGACTAGAAGTTAGTGACTTCAAGCACTGATGCCACGTTTTGGTTTGACCGCCCCTAACTTTCTTCCAACCATTTCCAATACCGGATAGCATTGCACGTCGTGGTAATCGGTGTTCAGGCATATGTAACACGTGGCCCAACCATCTCAGTCGATGAAGATTCATAACTTCATCAACTGATTTACCATTCTTCCCTAATACCCTGCGTCTAACCTCACTATTACTTACCCGATTATCCCAGCAGACGCCAGCAATATTTCTAAGGCATCTGTGGTCAAATACTAATAGCTTACGAGTGTCTTCTACCCTTAAAGGCCATGTTTCGCTGCCGTAAATTAAAACAGAACGGACTGCCGCGCAGTATACTCGTCCTTTGATTGATAGACGGATATCTCGCCTTCGCCACAGGTGACGTAAGTTGGCAAAAGCCAAACGAGCTTTTCGAATCCGTGCTGAGATTTCGTCCGATACCAGCCCATTAGGGCTGATCAGACTTCCAAGATAAGTGAAGTTGTCAACGCGTTCGACTACTTCACTCCCTATCATTAGTTCAGGTGTTAACGCAGACCAGTCCTGAAGCAACAATTTGCATTTCGAGGGAGAGAAGCGCATTCCAAACATTCTGACATTGTTGCTCAGTGCTACCAGAAAACTCTGCATTTTGTCAGCGTCTTCACCAAACAGGACTATATCATCTGCGTATTCTAAGTCGATAAGTGGACCTCCTGGATGGAGATCAATACCCGAGAACTCAGTCGACGAGAAAGTTATTTCCATCAGTAGGTCTATGATGAAGTTAAACAAAAATGGGGAAAGTGGACATCCTTGACGGACACCACTTGAGGTTGCAAAAGTAGATGACAGTTCGCCATAAGCTCTCACTCGACTAGTAGTGTTCGAGTAAAGAGCCTTCACAAGGTTTATGTACTTCTGGGGTACGCCTTTCAATGACAGACACTGCCACAGAACCTCGCGGTCTACCGAGTCAAATGCTGCTTTTAAGTCAAGAAAAACCACCATCGTCGGACGCCGATAAGTATGCCTGTGTTCTAGAACCTGACGAATGGTGAATATGTGGTCGATGCAGCCACGACCAGGTCTGAAGCCAGCTTGGTTTTCTCGTGTTTGCAGTTCACGAGTCTTAGTTAGGCGTCTGATAATTATCGAGGCTAGTATTTTAGATATTATATTAGTTAAACTAATCCCTCTGTGGTTGTCACAGGATGATTTTGACCCTTTATTATATATTGGGACGATAAGTGATTGTGACTTCTGGAACCAGTCCATCTGGACCAGCTGCCCTTCCTCGTTTCAGATTATCTATAGCCTTTTGAACTTCAGCAAGAGTTGGGGGACCTACTTCAATGTTCCATTCACGCTGTCTGGGAATGGATGGTAGTTGTAGAGTCGCTGAAGGCCAGTTGAACTGTTCCCTAAAGTGTTCCGCCCATCGTTCTAAACGTCTGGACTGGGAATAGATGAGAGTATCGTCTTTTTCCGATATAATATCACTTACACTTGACTTATTAATTCCAGTTTCTTTTATTAGTCTGTAAAGTTGTCTTGTGTTCCCTATAGTCGCCGCCTTTTCCATCTCTTTTGCTTTCGTTGCCCACCACTGCTCACGGTCGTTTCTTAAACTTTTTCTTAACCTAGATCTGATTTGTTGTCGCTCTTTATCATGTTCGGAACCTGATGGGACGAATTTGCGAGAATCCATCAGTGTGATAGACTTTGAAGAAATCCACTGGTTCCTTGAAACTCTGTGGTTTAAGTCCCTAATAGATGTCACTGCTGCTTCCACAGCTACTTGTATGTCTTTCCAAGCAACATCTGGGTCAGCCTCGTCTTCAAAACTACCTAAGTGTGAACTCAGGTGTTCTTGGAACCTATTTTTGGTTTTCTCGTTACTCAACTTAGTTCTAATGGGTCTTTTCAATGTGGCTTTTTTGCGTCCGGTGAGGCGCAAGCAGATGCGTGCCCGTATTAGGGCGTGGTCGGAGTCCAAGCAGGTACTCCAGAATGAGCGACAATCTTCTACCGACCCTCTCCAACGATGACTGATGGCAATATGGTCTATTTGAGTCCATCGTTGGTTTGGTGTAGGGGGTCGCCATGTTAGACGATGTCTTTCCTTATGCTTAAAATTTGTGTTTGCTAAAAATAAGCGATTGTCTGAGCACAGTTGCAGCAGACGGTCACCATTATCTGTTCGCTGTGCCGGAATGCTAAAATATCCACCTAAATGCCTTTCTGTGTGGTTTAAGCTACCTATCTGAGCATTAAAGTCACCCCCTACGAGTACTATGTCTGAGCGTTTAGCTTTCTGAAGAAGTTCAGATAACTTTCTGTAAAATTCATCTTTCACATCATCTGAGCTGCAGTCAGTAGGAGCGTAGGCAGAAACGACAAAAAGGCAACGACGTGTGTCCCTATCCTTCCGAGTTCTTACGGAGCCGTTTAGCAGAACAGCACATAGACGACTGTTGACGGGGATCCACTCTAGCAGTGCTTGTTCCGCCCTCATGCTTAGTGCTATGCCTACACCTGCCAGTCCACGAGAACTGGCCATCGGGTCACCAGATACACGTAGGGTGTATCTCGTTGGCTCTCCATTTTGCCGAGGTGAGGTCAAGTGAATGACCACACTGGAATCCTGTATGCGTGTTTCGGAGACACAGCATACATCAATGGAAAGAGACTCTAGGGTTTTAGCCAAGGAAGCCTGTTGACCGATTTGACATAGAGTGCGTACGTTGAAAGCTCCAATGTGTAGTTTGGAGCGAGGTTTCAGTAGACTTGGGACAGAGTTTTGAGCACTAGAATCGTTGGCTATGGTGACACTTGAGGAGGAAGCCGAAGGAGGAAGTTTAGGGTTGAAAGTCGATGTAGGAGGAATAATAGGAATTGAAGAGGAAGGTTGATTATGAATACAGTGGCCTTGAGTGCTGTTAGAGGTATGAGGGCGGTTATCACTTCCCGGTTGCCCACACCGTGGAAGGGTTCTTCTGGAGGTGCCTGAAAAGGAAATTGGATTAGAGGTGGTCTCAGCGACCTGAGAGCGTGACCGCAGTGCCCAAGGGACAACTGCTTGAGGCCGGTCGCGCACGGCCTTTTCGTGGAAGGTTTTTGACATGTTAGCTCCGTTCTTCAAAGGGCCTTACCGCCGGAGACGGAAATCCGTGAGGTAAGGTGAGGTGTGCATTTTTAGGGTCGACCTTTTCTAACCCCACCCCTCCTTGTGGGAAGGCAGCATCGCTGTCATGCTGGTTGTCTGAAGGAAACACCTTACTGCTGTCACACCTCTGTACAGTCAGCAGTACGACTTCGCCTTCGGACCTTCGGTTTGTTACTTTTAGTCTTACCGCTCTTCAACCGACCTGTCTGACATGGTAGGACCTTGAGGAACGGTTGTTCCAGCCAGTATAGCTCGGTTGCTTCATCACGATAGGCAGGCACGACCACCACGTCAAGGTAGCAACAACGGTCGGGAGAGAATGTATACACCGACGCCATTGTGATCGATTGTGAGCCATGTCACACACGGTTTCTAACCATTGGTTGCGATAGTCGCGTGGACCCCAACAAAGTAGCCTACATCCACTAACACGGCTCAGACCAGAAGTTAGTGACTTTACGGATTGATGTCATGTTTTGGTTTGACCGCCCCTAACTTTCTTTTAAGCATCTCCAACAGTAGTCAGCATTGTGAGTCGTGGTTATCGGTGTTCAAGCACACGTAACATGTGGCCCAACCATCTCAGTCGATGAAGATTCACAACCTCATCAACTGATTTACCCTCACTCCCTAATACCCTGCATCTAACCTCACTATTACTAACCCGATGATCCCAGCAGATGT